CTTCGTCATCCCACTATAAGAACAGATCGAGGAATGGGGAATTTCCCCCATCCCCGTAACATGCATGGACGAAGTCTGGCAATATTGCATCTGTTTCGGCTCCACTGTCAAATAGTGCGTAGGCTTTTATGCCTGCTATTTTTACGTGAGCTGTCAGTGTTCTCTTTGTTGAGAGCAGTCTGTTTGTGGGGTATTTTCCTGCATCTTTGAGATGCAGAATTTCACATCAAACAAGGGGGTCTGGGTTTCAATGGACTTTTGGTCCTTCTTCCTTTTCTCCTTGTTTTCCTTGGGTACTTTGGTGTATTTCCCCAAGGCATCTTTTCTTGGTGCTTTCATCAAGGCTTTGGCAACTTTCTCATCTGCCATGTTTTCTAACTGGCACACCACAGCCAGTTTGATTTTGTAATTTATGTCATCATAGTCGACAACTGACATTGGGCCCATCCTTATGGTTCCAATGTTAACTTCCTCACCCTCTGAATCAGGTGAGTATTGAGGTCCCTCGTATGGGTCCTCTACTTTGAAGCTTGATGCTCCGGAGTTACCAGAGTTGTTCTCTGGTTTTTTGTCTGATGAGTCTTCCAACTCTTCTTCTGATGCATTCACAATTTCCATGGCAGCTATGTGCCTTGGCTTTTCATTGCTCATTGCATGATGTTTTGGGCAATCTTTTGTTTGCCCTATTTTGCTGCATTTGGGACTGACTTTTGGTCAGTTTTCCTCAAATTCTTTGAGGATATATCCTCTTTCCATCTGGGTTTAGGCTCTTCAGCCTTCTTTCCTGATGGGAGGGTTCTACCATGGCTTGTGGTTGCCATGGTGGTTGTTTGGGTGTAATAACCTGATTTGTAGGCTGAAGACATCTTCAGCCTGTTGATTATCTCGTCTACACAAGATATTGCTTTTAACATCTCCTCATTTGAGGAGAAGTCTGCTCTGATTCTGTCATGAGCGATCATTTCCCTCTTCCATTTGAGGGGAATGTTGTTTAGAAACCTGGCATTGAAGGATGCCTGGTCTGGCAGTGTCACCATCTGGGATGCTGCTTTAGACAGTTCTAAGTAGAACTGTTTTAGGCCTTTTTCCGCTTTGTATTTAACTTCTTTGTCACATTCAACGTGGCAGAGGCTTTGATGAAAGTTCTCATCAGTATGTTGAGAACTTTGAGGAACATGCCCTTGTCTCCTCTGAGGAGAGTTTCATCTCAGAGTCTTATTCCAAGGTCAAATGCGGGTCCCCCTAATCTGCGAACAAGCAGTCCAGATGGACTTTGTTGAATTGTGGACCTTTGCATCCTCACAAGGTGAGGAATCCCAGTAGTTCTGTGAACCACTGCCAGAACAACTCCATGTCGTTCTCCCCTGACTATTTCTTGTCAGGGAAAGCCAGCCCATTCTCTAGGGCTTCTGGCTTCACTCCCTCTGGGTAGGGAGTGAGTATTCTCACTTTGGCCATTCTTATGGCCTTTTTGTACCATTTTTCTAGGTACTCTTCTTGCTCCCCTGCCTTTGCAGGGTCACTATCCAATGGGGATTTCTCCTTTGGAGGGGTTTTCACTGGAGGGAGTCTGTCTCGCAGCGTTTCTTTTGTTTCGGGTGATCTTGCCTGAAGTTGTATCGGAATTCTCTCATTGTTTTGAGAGTGTGTGATTGTGTTACCTCTCTGTTCGAGAGGCTTGTCAATGGTGGAGGTTTGGCCAAACCTTTGGTACATGCCAATTCTCCTCCTGATTTCTGAATGGTGCCTCCTTTTGGCATCATCTTCTCCTATCCTGAGAAGGATCTCTTTTGTGTCTCCATCGAGTCACTGATGATACTCCAGTGTACTTTCACTGGTTGTTCTTTTTGTGAATTTTCCACAAGTTCTGGTTTTATCCTGGCCCATGGCCCAGGGGTATTTTTTTTGTTTCCTCACTATTTTGTGAGAAGTTTATTTCCTTCAGCAAGTCAGTTTGCTCGCTGATTTTATCAGTCAACGTGTCAATTGCATTGGCCATTCTTTCTAGAGTTATCTCTAGATGAGCCATGCTATTATGGCTTGTTTCCTTCATCTTTTTTTGGATCGAGTTTATCACATTTATTATGCATGATTCCTGGTTTTCCAGGAGGAAGTTTGGCTGGGCAAGTAGTGACTCTCCCCAGTTAACATTGCCGCTTCTGGGGGTTCCAGAAGGGGTTCTTGGAGTAAATACTCCACACTTGCTTTGTTTAGGCAAGGCTGTTGCAGAGGGTGCTTCCCTTTGATGGAGGGGTCTGTTCGCTGGTTTTTCCTTACTTTTCCATGGGGCTTCCTCAGCAAACTCCCTCATTTCAGTTCACCTCCTCTTCATGATCTTGGAGACCTCCTCTGAGGTTGGCAATCTTGCCTTGTCTGGCATGGCATGGGTAGTGTAAACAGTGGAAGTTCTTTTTGAGCTTCTGCACTCTGAGAGATCCTGCTCTCAGGGTGTGTCATGACCTGGCGTTCCCCGGGGCCAGACAACCTCCTCCCTGACCTTCTCCCACACCCGAACACTCCCTGCACACTCCGCTCGCCGCCCGTCGCTGTCTAACCACTTCCTGCCACCTCTCCACAACCCCTCTGCTAATTGTCGTTGAACGACCTAGCAGTGCAGAGCGCCGCGACCTGTTGTCCCATGTTTCTCCGCACCTTGTTACCTCGCGGCAAAGGTCACGCTTGACCTTCACTGTCTTGAACACGTGCTCTTTGTTTGTTTTCCTCCTTCTTTTCTCCACCCGCAATCTCCGCGAGATCTGGCGACTTATTCCCTATTCAGTTCCCTAGTGCTTATATACAGCTTGTAACTAATGCTTGTACTGTAGTTCGAAATCAACTAGAATCCACCCCTAAGCTTACCTCTGTCCCCCGTGAGACCTCCGACCTTCTGAAGTATTGGGACCACGTCGAGAACGAGGTGCAACGCTCCTCCTCAAGTCGTTGAAGCCAAAATCCCAGCTCACTCGCCTAAGTAGCCTTGGCCTCAAGATTGGTGGGGTTTATCCCTCGCTAAAGCTCAGTCGTGCGTAGGACGCCTTTACCACTAGCGGGCAACGTTCGGTCGCCTACGGCTACCATCGGCGAAGATTCGCACGGTTCTGACAGGGTGTTTCTTTGCACCTTCTTGGGCCTTTAGCCTGAGAAGAAGTTGTTCTTCACTTCCCATCCTCCATTCAGACAGGACCTGGAACAAGTCCAGTAGTTTTTCAGATAGCCAATGCAGAGGTTCTTCCCTCTGTTTCCCTTTGTCCACCTTTGGGGCTTGACTTGGGGAAATGGGGGAGGACTCCAGGGGACAGTGGGGCCCTGGAGTTTCCTATGACTGTACCCAATCAGCTTTTCAGGCTGATTGTTCGGCGCTTTATGCATTTATCACACAAGTTGATCACCTCCTCTGGAGGTGAGAGATCTTCCCCAGCTTGGGTGAGATCAATGTGTTGTGGAGATCTAGGGGTATTGGGCCCTGCACTTACTCCACATAAGTTTTTAAAACATTCAGGGACCAGCCCTGAGGTGGTTATCTTTCTGGATAACATTGATCTCATCATTGTCTGATGATGGCTGTTGCTTGAATCTCCCATAATGGGAGATTGCAGTTTCTTTATAAACCACTCATTCTTTTTTATTGTCGCTGCAGAAGTGACCTTGCCCTTGTGGGCATGTTTTGGTGCCATGAGCACTACTGAGTCAAGTTATTGCGATGTGATAGTTTTGGTGGGTTGTGTTGTAAAACACCACTCATACACTTAAAAAAGTGTGAGGGTTCAGTGGGATTGCTCAGCACACAGAGCCGTTGTAAGCGGGCTAGGGATCTAACCCAGCAAGCAAACAGGAAAGGACAGGGACTAGATTGGTATCCAACAGGTCAGGGAAAAGGGGAAATATGGTAATGGTCCGGTGTGGTGCAGTGCATGGTGTACTCTAATCAACCTCTCACCCCACCTCTCTGGGTGACACTAAGGCGAGGACTGATCTAGAGGTCTTCTTACTGATGTTCTTCATTGTAATACTCCCTACTAGCTTGGGAGGGGCAAACTTGGTGGTTTCTAATCCAAAGGAAAAAGTAGATACATCCTCATGTACAGGTATATATGAGAAATGATCAAATAAAATGGAAGAAAATTCCCGCTACTCCATAGCGGGTCCTACGTTTTTTCTCCCCAACTCAATTGTCCTATGCACAGGGTCCTGTATGACCCCCAAACCCAAGGTCCATTATCTGCCCCATGTCAGGGCACACACCTTGACTAGCCCGGACCCGGACCCGCGTCCGGACCTGCTTCCACCTGCTGTGCTTCCCGCATGCGTGCACGCTCCGCGCGCCGCATGCTCCGGGCCCGGTTCCTACTCCTTCATGTGACTTCTGGGTATCCCCAGAAGTTTTCCTGATATGGTGGCCACTGTGGGAAGATGAGAAGTTAGCTTCCTTCTCATCTTCTTACCCACAGTAGTTGTTGCCCTTGATAGGGCTGTTCATAGGTCAGGCTGTGGACCATAGGGGAGGGTCATGGGGACCCAGGAGTCGTCCCCTGACACCCCATACAGTTCTATTCCCTTGGGTCCTCACTCCCTCCCAACCTAGGGCAAACCTAGGGTCCACTGCTTATGTAACGTCATCGTTCTCGCCATAGACTTCTTCTCTCAAGCTCACTGACCAATCATATCTCCTGAAAAAGCTCATGCTCACTCCTGATACAAGTGAGTTGTGGATACATTCCCAGCTACTTCACTTTTCACTGATCTACCCAGGGTTGTGGCCCTATTCTTTCCTTTCTTCTGCTTTCCATCTCTCCTCTCGTGCGATCTCCAGCTATGCATGCCTACACGGATCACTCTGCATGATACAACATATTGTGAATCCTGACTGCTACGGATCTGCTCTCCTGGGTTGTGTGCAAGAACGTGAACATTTACCTGCTATTGATGTCCATCTCCTTCAACTCCACCACCACGGCCCTGAGAGCCTTCACGACATACAACTCCTTCTGCATCACTTTCAGCAACATATCCTGATCCCTTTTCTCCTTGTGACTTCGGTCTTGAAGCTCACACTCGGCTTCCTGTCCAACCACGCTGTCGTGCACTTGCCTTTTCTGCTGCACAACTCAATGTCCATCGCTCCCAGTTTCTCTCTGCTGTTGCATCTGCAGATCTCTGCAGTGCATGTCTTCATCGTTTTGTTGCACAGTTTGCTTTGCCTGTTGAATCTGATGCAGATCTACGGACTATTTGTCACACCATTCTTCACCCTGCATCGCAATGTGCTCCCTCTTCTAATGTTGACGCTTACCAACAATGGCACCTCCAGTGTGCAGCATGTTGGCCTGAAACACTCATGTTGGCTACAAAGAAAAAGATTCTGAATCAGTACTACCTAACTTCCTCCCAACAACTCTCCACTTTGGTTTGCGCTGTCTGTGCCACTGCAAAACCATTGCATGGGTTTGTGCCAAATTCTATGCAGTTGAGCGCTCATGACACCGACTTGCTGGTCAGTGTATACCCCAACCATGGCCTGAACCCGTTTGCGAATACACCATCCCTGCACCACATTATGATCTGTCCTGAGGGTGTCATTTCCAACTGCAATGGTCACTTCAGACTCCGAGTCTGTCTTGCTTGTCACTGTGCATTGAGACGACACTGGTTACCTCCCACTGAAATGGCAAATGATCTGTACTTGGGTCCTTTCCTCATTATGTGGCTCTGTGGTTGACCGTGGGGTTAGACAGCGTCCCGACCGCGACGTTGATCAGGGTTGGGTGTGTCAGGGGACGGACCCTGGGTCCCCATGACCCCTCTCTATGGCCCACAGTCTAACCTGTGAACAGCCCTGTCCAGGGCACAACTCTACTGTGGGTAAGAAAGTGAATAGATAAAAGGGAAGTAAGATACACTTGCCTACTTGTCAGGGCACACCCGCCTGACCCCACTCCACCCGGTCTGACCCCACCTGATCCCACTACCCTCACCCGGTGCCCCCGTCCTCCGTCCTCCCTTCTCTCCTCCGTCCTCTCTCCTTCTTCCTTTCTCTTCTTCTTTCTTCTTTCCTTTCCTTCTCCTTCTTTCCTTTTCTACTACATGGACGACTTCCTTGCTCGATGTACCATTGACCAGGCTGCACAACACACCCAGACCCAGGCACACCAGGTGTGTCATATCCATCCCTGGCCATCGACTTCCGATCCCTCTGATCCCTCCGTTCCACTTCCGCTCCTTCCTCACTAACCTTGGAGCTCCTGTATTCTGCAATCACCTCGGTACCCCTCGATGGTCACCACCCCCTCCTTTCAATTTATTACCTACACCTCCCTAAGTATGGAGCCCTGAAGGCTTCCAGACAGCTCCGACGTCCGCTAGCGCACTCCCACCTCCGCTGGGCAATACACTTGCTTGCCCTGCAAGCTCACCTTCGGGCCTATCCCTCCTTTCCGTTTCTGGGTTATCGCCTGCCTTTCCGCTAACCCTGTAACCCGACTCATTGGTAATATTCAATCAGCTAATGTCTAAACCCTGTTAGCTCCGCTCGGCTCCACCATTTGCAGACCCGCCCTCGCTGTAACTATATATACTACACTTGTACATAGGTTACACTCCAGTAATAAAATCGACTAGAGTTTACCCTCTTCAGTTCTGGTGGCCAGTTAGTAAGTTAGGGCACGGACGTGTTTACTAGGCACAGCGCTCCTGGCATAAGTTGCTGAGGCCGAAGCCCTCCATCACGGAGACACTCCCTCATCTCGACCCAGTCTCTGACAGGGTGACGCTGTAAGGGGGCAAGGGATCTACCACCCTAATGAGAAAGAGAGGGGGCCACAGAGTTGGTAGTGCTCGGGGGAGGTTCGGATGAAGAGGAGGGGGGGGGGGGGGAAATGGTCCGGGTGCGATGTGATAAAAATGATAAATCTCGTAAATCTCACTGATAATCAAACTAATGGGAACTCTGTCCCTGCACTATGTCTTGAGCCTCTTTGGCTTCGTATTCGCCACTCTGGGCACTGGTAACGTCTGCTAAAACTTCATGTTCATTGGGGAGCACCTCTCTCTGTTTGGGGGGAGTCCTTTTTGTAAATACAGGGAAGAGGCAGTTATAAATATAAAAAGGTATGCATGGAAATCCGAATGATCCGACGGATTTAGGACGGCAACAGATCCACAAGGAACAAAGCAATATCAAAGAAATATTGATGTTGTTAAGGAAATAAAGAAACATGGCGATCGGAACAACCGCTGACCCAAATGCGTCACTCATAGCATCGTTCGACTCGTGTTAACAAGGGCTTTCCAACGATACCAGATTCGTCCGGATCGGTGGAGAATTGATGGAGATATGGAGGAAGCGGCAGAATATGCGGGTGACAGTTGCCCAATTTGGAAACTGATGGTTGTCTGTGGTCAGGAATGGCTTGAAAAAATCGAAAAAAAATGGGAAACGTGGAAGAGGTATCTGGAACAGTGGTAGATGTGTTTTGGGAGTGGGGTGCTTGATGTGGGTGGTAGAATCGCGATAATCGGCTCGTTTGCGTGGTACCGGCTGTGCCCACCTACAACGCCCTACACACTGGACACTCCTGAGATCTCTTATGGAGATACCTGGGTGGATATGGCTGTGCGTGTTGTAGGAGAAATAATATTCAAAGAATAAAACAATGATCTATCAGAATAGTCAACAAACAGGTGACAAGTTCAGACGTTTAACAGATCTCATGATCTTTATGAGACTGGACAGACATTAGAAGATCATTATAAATTGTCTACACCCATGTAGCATGAGATTTAATCTACTACAAGCATGCCTAGAACCTGGCATAGGTGAAATATTCAAAGAATATATCCCTACAACAAGAAAATAGCACATAGATGGCAGAATAAGAAGGAACATTGGGAAAGAAATGTGAATATCTCGGGAACCAGTAAACTTTTGACTGTAATCTTTTTACCATCTAAAAGGACTGTTTCTAAACTTTATCCACAGTTTTGTTTCATTCTAAAAGCTTCAAAACTGACGGAGATATTGCTCAAACGGCGAAACACCTTATAATTTATATATATTTATTTGCTAATTCTTATAAAAAGTAATGTGACTCAAGGGAAAATATATTGGCGCCTGGAAGTCTGGCGGACCGAATACCATATAACAGAGTATTCCCCGGCGTGGGCGGACAGTTTTTGATCGCATCAGAAGAGGAGAAAATTCTAAAAAACTGGATCTTGTATATTTTCCCATGATTCATCAAAACTTTTTGATTTTAAGCTCAAATAAATCGGAACAAAGGAATGATTGATAATCTGGATCTCGGATCATAAGCATAAAGTGATTCAGAAGTCCGCGGATCAGTTAATTAATTGGGAGAGCTCTAGAACATTAGTAATGATGTGGCTTCACAAAAAGGGGTGAATTAGAGAACAATCTAGAAAGTTCCTTTATAGCCGGGTCATTTCTAAAGATAACCGTTCGTAATTAAGGCGGTGTAGAGCATAGCTTTAGCGCTACAAGACCCCGCTAAGATCGGCCCAAAAGACAAAGAACTGAATTACTTATTGCTGAGTCATGTCCTAAGTCCATTATTAAGCTTACACAGCCCAAGCCCCCATATCACCCCAGAACTATCTATAATACAAATGTAGCACATGTAACTAGTGCGAGGCGTGGGAGTAGAGAGGCCTCTGAAAAGCATAAAAGGCCGCCGCTTCTGCCCCCTCTCAAACCTCAGGTAGAAATATAAGTTTAATTCTCCTCACCAGTGGTTGGTTCGTTTGCTCCAAAAGATAAAAGCAAATATTAGTTGTTAGCTGATATAAAACTAACACGTCACTCTAAGCGTGAGTTAGGGTCAGTTAGACACAGCTGAACAAAAGTGTCCTAGTGAGAATTAGTGAGAATTTGGTGGAGGGACTTCTTAGTTGAATAATCTCTCAGCAATACTTGGTTATCACACCACAGGAGAAAAGTGAGCGATCCTGAACCTGCTAAATAACTAGCACGCACTCAAGCGATAGAAAGAGCAGTTTGGTCACTCCTGTATTGAGTAACATTTATTGCGGAATTATTTTATTAGTAGTTTTCCTTCAGTAAATTATCAGGAAAATCATGTCCTACTGAAAAGTGGTATATCTAGGTGTAATATTGACTAGAAATCATAGTAAAGTCAATATAGAATTTTATTCATAGATGATCTATACGTCAGGTGAGATCGTTGGGGGGTGTTTATTGTTGTTTAGACAGTGAACAATTATATATTTGGCAACCAAAACACGGTCAGTACGCAAATCAGCACAAACTCTAATATCGTTATTGGACATAGGAAACTGGTTACATAAGGTGATCCAGCTCCGCTCCTTCAGCGTAGATGATGTGGTGCTCCCCACGTGACCTTCGACCACATGTACATACATGTAAACACAGCCTAAGTGGGAACTGAGAAGTAACCTTCTTCTCACACTTCCCACTTTAGGCAAGTAGCTTACATTCCCTCACTAATAATAATAACACACTTCTCACTTTAGCCTAAGTGGCCAGGGATGCCCTTCTGTGCTGGGTCCGTTAGCATGCACGCCTGTGATACACCCTATCAGGTCCTCAGTGCCGGGTGACACATCCAGACGCTCTCGACCCTGGGTCGTTCCCTGACAGCAGAAGAAGGTTTCAACCTTACTCACCCTCCCTACCATGGTGATGCAAGAGCAATATGATGACTTGCTGGCCCGGTTCCAGGAGTCGCAGGCCATCGTGGAAAGCCAGACCTGGAACCGGCCCACATACACACCCGCACCCACGTCCATGCCCGTGCCCACCCTCAGACCACCTAAGGTCGCCCCCCCCCCACCCCCTTCTCGGGAGTCAGCGAGGACCTCGACCGCTTCAGGGCTGAGTGCAGAATTTACCTCCATGTCCACATGGCCGAATTCCCCAGTACCCTCTCCCAAGTCCTGTTTGTCCTCTCTTACATGAAGGAAGGGACTGCAGGGGCATGGGTGACACAGCACACTATGGCACTGTTGGCAACAGGCTCCCCTACACCCACCATGGACGAGTTCAATGTGGAACTCGATGCCATGTTCCAAGACCCGAACTGGGAGGCCACAGCCCGGCAGAAACTAGCAACCATCCGGCAAGGGAGCGACTCTGTGGACAGAGTCATCCAGGAGTTCGAAATACTGGGACCTGTCTCACAGCTAGGAGATGTAGGACTGGTCGACCACTTTGAGTGGGCAATCAACTCCCGGCTCCATGAGAGCATCTCCCCTGCCACAGTCAAACTCCAACTCACCGCGCGACAAAAGGGAATCCACCTGGTTGTATCTGTAACGAACATCAGGCTGTACTGCCCAGATGAAATTGTAGGACGACCTGTTGACCCCCACCCAGGCCCGGAACTCATGGATGGGGAAGAGGAGTATGAAGTCGAGAAGGTTAAACTCCAAATGGCTACACCGGAAACTCTGGTATCTGGTAAAGTTCACGGGCTGGCCAAATTCAGAAAACCGATGGCTCCCCCATGACCACCTAGCCCATGCCCCCGACCGAATTGAAGAGTTCCACCGAACGCACCCCCACGCCACAGGGAGAGAGAGAGAGAACCGCCTGGCCACTTCGAGGCGAAGTGGCTTAAGGAGGGGGTGATGTGTCAGGGCACACCCACCTCACCCGGCTCCACCTGGCTCCACTCCACCCGCTACCCCCTTCTCCCCCTTCCTATTTCCTCCTCCCTCCAC